GGGGAGAACATGGAAAAATAATGCAAAAATACTGTAAAACTTGTAAACTGGTTTCTTTACAATGGCACACATGAGTCTACCTTTGGAGGGGAATGCAGCAACATGCACCAATGCTTCTTACTTCCCTTTTGTCATCACAGTGGTGTTGAATGTAACAGTATTAGCTCTGATTTTTATGTCAGACTCAGGATCAACCAGTTCAAATGTAGCATCAGTGTGAATTGTGATGGGGGTCATCATTCATGAAGTCGGGTGGAGATGCCCATGAAATGTCCAGAAATGCAGTGGCTGGTCCTGCACTTGATCAGCTGGGTTGAGGTCCCTAGGCATATAGTGCCGTTGATCGGGATTGGAGAACCTTCTGATGAGCTACTGACATATAGAACTGTTTTGTTTGTATGTGTCCCATCACTTTCTTGTGTTGGTTTTGGGGTCAGCTTTGCCTTACTGAGGACACAGCCCACACTTACTTTTGTCTTGTATTTATAACTTTGAGGTAGGCTACCAGAGTTATTGTTTCAATAGAAGCATAAGAGAAAACATGAAACTCTATTCTGGTGGCATTCCTTAGAAATGCAGGAGTTTGGTATCTGAAGTTGTTTTAGGGCTTTCAGAGACTCTTTCCTTGATTCCCATTATTGTTGTTTCTCTCTGAGTAATGGGGTATCCTAATCTGTGTTTTCAGAGTAAGTTGTCTTGGGGTCATAGAGGCTGTTCATAGCAGACAAAACTCCTTGTTTCGTGAAGGGCTTGTCACAAGTTGATACTTTAAATGTGAACGTGTCTTGTTTGATATCCCAAAGCAATCTGAAAATATATTGTGCAAGGGGGGGGGCATCAAATTCCTAGATTGAATCTCTTTACACTAACAGCATAGTCATCAGAGGGAAAGTCTTTCATTACCTTATCACTGTTAGAGATTTTGTGAAGCAAGGTTGACAGTGGCAAACAAAGATTTGAGCCCCATTTGAGCTGTCCTTCTCAGCCCATGAACTGCTACAGCAGAACAAAGGCTGTTACCAAAAGCATGTGCTTTCACTCAGTAGTCTATGACTTCATTGCTGACATCATTGTTGCAATATCATTGGAATTTGAGGAAGTTTCTGTGGTCTTCTCGAATAATGAAACAGTGGAACATTTGCTGAATGTTGGCCAAAACAGCAACTGGTTATTGTCTAAGATGGAGCCAATTCCTATAAATTTGTTGTTCAGATTAGGCACAACTAGAAGGAGATAGCTGAGTGAAACACCTTCATATCGAGCACTTGAGAGGTGGTGCATGCTCAGCACAATCTCTCACAAACACCTTCTGCATAAGTCAACAATGTGTTTTTTCATCTCAGATTTTCTGTTCAAAGTGTGTTAAAAAGTAAATTGTGCTTCTACATTCTGAACATTATTTGGTAGTTTCTTGCTTGAGCCAAAAAATGCTAGTGATGCCACCCACCATTGGAATTGTGCTGCTAGAATTCTTTATTCATAATTTTTAGGAACTCCTTGTCTTCCATGGTGGCTGCCAACTCATTGTCTTTAGTTGTTGCATCGAACACTGTGGTGCCGCCATTATCATCCAAGAAATGAATGGCCTAGTTGTTGCTTTGTGTGAAGAACAGTTCAAAGTAATTTTTTTGACATGGTAGTGGTGTGGGCACTGCTCAAAACAAGTAATGCGTTCATTTGGCAGGACACATGTCTTGAAAGACGAACAACTGTGGAAGACCTTCTGACATTACCCAGACAGACATTGTCTATGATGACCCAGCTAAGCTCCAGGCATTGGACATAGGGCACATCATGTGGCCCGTTAATTTGTTGGAAAGCTTTGTGTATCCTTGGGATGCCTCTTGAGAAGCAAGAGAATATCAGCATTTCTATCTGGAGTTGGTATGTGGCCAGCTATGCCTCTCAAGTGAGAGTAGTGAGCAGCTTCAGAAGTAGGGATCTCCTCTCTGTTGGTTGGAATCAGATTGCACTTAATGAGAGTGGGCAATGTACACTGCTATTCAGGGGAGCTACTACAAAACCAGTGGCTCTCCTGCCTGAAACTTCTGTAATGCCAGCACAGGTGCCCAGGGTGTATGGTATGGCATGGCATCTATTGTTACTCTGATCTGATCTAGAATAGCATACAGTCTTACAGCTCCTTAAGATTGACCCTTGGGTTATACATGAAAATAAGCATATTTTGGCACAGGGTTTGTCAAAGAGTTCGTCCCCACAGACTTCTGTACATGTAGTGAAAAATGGAGTATGAAGTTCTATTTGATCTGTGCTCTCCTCGTCATGCATTACCTCAGGAGGATTTCCTGGAGACAGAGTGGAACTGTCTTGGATGAAGCGCTTGCACATGATCATCACTATCTCATTCTATGCACTTTTACATAGTTACATAGGTAATCTGGTTATAAACAGAACAAAAGTCCATCCAGTCAACAGAAAAAAAAAAGACACACAAAATAGAAAACCTCCACATTCACTATCCTATACCCATAGTTGATCCAGAGGAAGACAAAAAAACAATAAAGCATGATCCAATTTGCACCAGCAAGGGAAAAAAATCCTTCCTGATCCCCCAAGATGCAATTGGATATTCCCTGAATCAATTATACCTATACATATTAATATCCAGGTTTATTATGTGTATTTAGGAAAGAATCCAGGCCTTTTTTAAAGCAATCTCTGGAGTTGGCCAGAACCAGCTCTTGAGGGAGTCTATTCAACATTTTCACAGCTCTTACTTTGAAAGAGCCTTTCCATATTGTGACAGTGTGGTGATCTGTCACGATATAAAAATGATATTTCACCCGGGATTCTCAACAAGGCAGGTTGAGGGGCTCCAGGGTACTTGTTTGATGCAGAGGAAAGTGGCTTTTCACTTTCCTCATTTGTTTGTAAGGTCCATTTTGGGACCTGGAGCCTGGAGATTTCAAAGTGATTTGGGAGGGATGAAATCTCCAATCCTGGGACCAGGTTTTGGGAATGGCCAGGAGACTGATCGGTCAGGTGTGCATGGCTCTCTTCTAGAGTCAGGACCAGGGTTCTGGGCTTCACCTAGGAGGTCAGGAGGTCACTGCCCAGGAGTCATGAGGACTCCACCTAGGAGAGGTGGAAGCCAGAACAGCAAGAGGCTGCTAGCTGTGTGCTAAAAGCTAAAAGCCATTTTGGAAGGAGTTTGTAGGAGACAGCTGTGAGCCTAAAGTGGAAGGCCAGAGCGGCAGAAATCTGTGTACAAGCCAGGAGGCTGATTATTTGTTTCATTTGTTTGATGGTGGATACCCCTGCGTGGGAAGCATTTTGTGGAACTTTCTCTTAAATAAAATTGGGCTAAAAGGCCTTTAAAAAGAATAAAGCGAGTGGCTGTGTGGTGGAAAAACTCTACCATTTGATGCTAGTTCTCACATATGGTGGAGGATGTGGGCAGAACGGGAAATCCCTGCAATGAAGTACGTTCATTTGTTATATGAACTGTGTTTGGTGCATAAGTTTGCACTATCTGTGTGTGCAGGTGAGGAAAACCTGCCGGAGAAAAGGAACTTGCCTTAAAGAGACAGTGTTCCATGGTGTTGCTGAAATGTGTAACAAACTGCTGTGTGCGTGTGTCAGGAATGGACTTGCCAGTAATGGTGGGGGACTCACCTGCCTTGTGGGCTGCAGTACCAGGGCTGGCCAGCGGGTGCTCTCAGCAATCAGAGACTCAACCCTGCAGCCAGCCAAACACCTGAAGCTGATTATGCAGGTGTATTTAAGGGATGGCCAGAACTGCAGTCTGTGCCTTGGTGTGTGTTTTTCCATGGGCCCTTGTATTTTGTAACCTGTGTTCCTGTTCCTGCTTCTGCTTCTGCCTCTGCCTGACTTGTTGCCGACCCGGTCTGATCCTGACCTCTGCTGACTTCTCCTGTTTTGATCCCTGGCTTGTGACCCTGACCATTCTCTCCGCCTGCTCCTCCTGTACCTACCTGCCCGATAGTTATCGACCCGGCCTGCCTGATTACGTTGTGCTCTATATGTGTATGTACCTGTGTATCTGTATCAGTTTAGGTTTGGGTTTGTTTCACCTTGTTGTATGTATTTGTGTTAGCTTGGGGTTTGGTGCACTGCGTTTATGTTTGTATTGTTAGTCTTTAATAAATTGTCTTATTGTTTATAACATATCTGAAGCCTGCATTTCCCTGCGTCAGTTCACATACCTCTGGTCATACCCGGAGCCCTGACATTACACCAAGGCCAATCCTGACCAGAAGTGGCTGCACAGGGAAGCCATCTTGGCTTGTTGCTGGGAAGGATGGATCTTGATGAGGTTGTGTATTTGTCGCTGCTGGTTTTTGATGACAGAGAATATGCTTATCAGACTCTGAAGGAGTATACCCGGGATCAGCTGCTAGAGTGTATATGGATCGCTCATGTTCTAGTAGATCAGGGCACAGAGTTCTCTGAGGTGCAACCTTTGATTCAGGTTTGTGTAGAGTTGGCTTCATCTGGTACCCCTGAAAGCAGGAATGACTTTTTGCCACCATTTAGTGCAGACCAGGTAGAGTCCCTGGTATGGTTATTAGAGGATGATGTGGATTGCTTCTTGGAGCATTATGCTGCATGTTCACCACAGGTATTAAGGGATTGTATAAACGCAGTGCAGTCTTTGGTCAGACAGACTTTGTGTAAGCTGAGCTTTGTTCAACCCATACTGCAGACATGGTCAGACTTGTTGCACCCAGCCTCAGTCAGCTTACAACGTCATTCCTCCGCTCAAGGCACTCTTCCTACATCCCCGACAGCACCCCCAGCGACGACCCAGTATACTCTGCTAACCCACATATCAGTCCTCTGCTCCCACTCGCACCTATCCTTTCTTTAACCCTGTAAAGAAGTCCTCTGTAGCAACTACTACCCCCTCCTCTGTTCCATATCCAGTCTTCTCTGCTCAGCTGCTCCATTCTTTGCAGCCTGCGTTTATTGCAGTGCTTCTTTAACCCTGTAAAAAGTCCTCTGTAAAAGCAAAAATTCTTTCTAACCAGTACCATCCTGCCAGTATCCAAACCGGTGAGCCTGCCGTCTGAGAACCTGCCTTCCCTGGTTCAGCCTGGTGCCTTGGCACCCGCACTTCAGCCTGATGTCTCTACCCAGCCTGATGTCTGTACCCAGCCTGACGATCCAATGCTTGATGACCCGGTGCCTGCTGTCGATCCAGACGATCCGGTGCCTGCTGTCATGCCTGGTGACCCGATGCCCCTGCTGCCGATCCAGACAATCCAATGCCTGATGACCCAGTGCCCGCTGTCATGCCTGGTGACCCGATGCCCGCTGTCGATCCAGACGATCCAATGCCTGTGACCCAGTGCCCGCTGTCATGCCTGGTGACCCGATGCCCGCTGTCGAGCCAGACGATCCAGCGCCAGATGACCCGGTGCCTGCTGTCGATCCCAGTGCCCGCTGTCATGCCTGGTGACCTGATGCCTGCTGTCAAGCCAGACGATCCAATGCCCGCTGTCCAAATGCCTGATGTGGTGACCCGATGCCAGACGATCTGTCTGACCCAGTGCCCGCCAGCCAGTTGACGATCCAATGCCTGGTGACTCGGTGCCCACTGCCTTGCCAGATGACCCGGTGCCCGCTGGTGAGCCATGACTGGATGACCCGGTGCCCGCTGTCATACCTGGTGACCCGATGCCCGCTGTCGAGCCAGACGATCCAATGCCTGATGACCCAGTGCCCGCTGTCATGCCTGGTGACCCGATGCCCGCTGTCGAGCCAGACGATCCAGCGCCAGATGACCCGGTGCCTGCTGTCGAGCCAGACGATCCGGTACCTGATGACCCGGTGCCCGCTGTCGTGCCAATTGACTCAGAGCCCACTGTCGTGCCTGGTGACTCGGTGCCCACTGCCTTGCCAGATGACGCGGTGCCCGCTGTCGAGCCAAATGATCTGATGCCTGGTGACCCGATGCCCGCTGTCGAGCCAGACGATCTAATGTCTGACCCAGTGCCCGCGGTCATGCCAGTTGACTTGGAACCCACTGTCGTGCCTGGTGACTCGGTGCCCACTGCCTTGCCAGATGACACGGTGCCCGCTGGCGAGCCAAATGACCTGAGGCCTGGTGACCTGATGCCCGTTGTCGTGCCTGATGACCCGGTGCCCGCCGCTCCACCTGGGGGCCTGGTGCCCGCCGCCCACCGCTCCACCTGGGGGCCCGGCGCCCGCTGCTCCGCCTGGGGGGTGCCCGATGCCCCACCCCACCTGTCGCTTTTGCCTGGGGGCCCGATGCCTGTCGCCCCTCCTAGGGCCCCAGCTCCCGCCGCTCCGCCTGGGGGCCCGGCGCCCACCGCCCCGCCTGGGGGCCCGATGCCTGTCGCTCCGCCTGGGGGTCGATGCCTGTCGCCCCGCCTGGGGGCCCGGCGCCTGCTGCTCCGCCTGGGGGTCCGGCGCCCGCCGCCGCCGCCTGGGGGCCCGATGCCTGTCGCTCCGCCCGGGGGCCCGGTGCCTGCCGCCGCTCCTGGGGGCCCGGTGCCCACCGCTCCGCCCAAGGGCCCGCCGCTCCACGCCCCGATGCCGCCTGCCTGGGGGCCTGGTGCCTGCCGCCCCACCTGGGGGCTTGGTGCCCGCCGCTCCACCCACCTGGGGCCCGGCGCCCGCCGCCCCCCCTGGGGGCCCGCTGCCCCGCCTGGTGGCCCAGTGCCCGCTGCTCCGCCTGGTGGCCCGGTGCCCGCTGCTCCCACCTGGTGGCCCGGTGCCCGCTGCTCCCGCCTGGGAGGCCCGGCGCCCGCCCCTCCGCCTGGGGGCCCGGTGCCCGCCGCTCCGCCTGGTGGCCCGGTGCCCGCTCCGCCTGGTGGCCCGGTGCCTGCTGCTCCGCCTGGTGGCCCGGTGCCTGCTGCTCCGCCTGGTGGCCCGGTGCCTGCTGCTCCACCTGGGGGCCCGGTGCCCGCGGTGCCCGCCGGTGGTACGGTGCTCCACCTGGGGGCCCGGCGGCCCGCCTGCTCCACCTGGGGGCCGGTGCCCGCCGCTCCGCCTGGGGGCCCGGCGCCCGCCCCCGATGCCTGTCGCTTCGCCTGGGGGCCCGATGCCTGTCGCCCCTCCTGGGGCCCAGCTCCCGCTGCTCCGCCTGGGGGCCCGTCGCCCAACGCCCCGCCTGGGGGCCCGATGCCTGTCGCTCCGCCTGGGGGTCGATGCCTGTCGCCCCTCCTGGGGGCCCGGCGCCTGCTGCTTCGCCTGGGGGTCCGGCGCCCGCCGCTCCACCTGGGGGCCTGATGCCTGTCGCTCCGCCCGGGGGCCCGGTGCCTGCCGCCCCTCCTGGGGGCCCGGTGCCCGCCGCTCTGCCTGAGGGGGCCCGGCGCCCGCCCGCCCCCCCGCCTGGGGGGCCGATGCCTGTCGCTCCGCCCGGGGGCCCGGTGCCTGCCGCCGCTCCTGGGGGCCCGGTGCCCACCGCTCCGCCCAAGGGCCCGGCGCCCGCCGCCTGCCTGGGGGCCTGGTGCCCGCCGCCCCACCTGGGGGCTTGGTGCCCACCGCTCCGCCTGGGGGCCCGGCGCCCGCCGCCCCCCGCCTGGGGGCCCGCTGCCCCGCCTGGCCTGGTGGCCCGGTACCCGCTGCTCCGCCTGGTGGCCTGATGCCCGCTGCTCCGCCTGGTGGCCCGGTGCCTGCTGCTCCGCCTGGGAGCCCGGCGCCCGCCACTCCGCCTGGGGGCCCGGTGCCCGCCGCTCCGCCTGGTGGCCCGGTGCCTGCTGCTCCGCCTGGTGGCCTGGTGCCTGCTGCTCCGCCTGGTGATCCGGTGCCTGCTGCTCCGCCTGGTGATCTGGTGTCCAGCCCGATGTGCCTCTGCCCGGAGTCCAGCCCAATGTGCCTCTGCCCGGAGTCCAGCTCGATGTGCCTCTGCCCGGAGTCCAGCTCGATGTGCCTCTGCCCGGAGTCCAGCTCGATGTGCCTCTGCCCGGAGTCCAGCTCGATGTGCCTCTGCCCGGAGTCCTGCTCGATGTGCCTCTGCCCGGAGTCCTGCCCGATGTGCCGCTGCCCGGAGTCCTGCCCGATGTGCCGCTGCCCGGAGTCCTGCCCGATGTGCCGCTGCCCGGAGTCCTGCCCGATGTGCCGCTGCCCGGAGTCCAGCCCGATGTGCCGCTGCCCGGAGTCCAGCCCGATGTGCTGCCCGATGTGCTGCTGCCGAAGTCCTGCCCGATGTGCCAGTCTTTGATGACATTTTGCCCAGCTAGGATTGTTTGGAGCGTCCTGAGGCCGCTCCTTGAGGGGGGGTACTGTCAGGAATGGACTTGCCAGTAATGTGGGACTCACCTGCCTTGTGGGCTGCAGTACCAGGGCTGGCCAGCGGGTGCTCTCAGCAATCAGAGACTCAACCCTGCAGCCAGCCAAACACCTGAAGCTGATTATGCAGGTGTATTTAAGGGATGGCCAGACCTGCAGTCTGTGCCTTGGTGTGTGTTTTTCCATGGGCCCCTGTATTTTGTAACCTGTGTTCCTGTTCCTGCTTCTGCCTCTGCCTGACTTGTTGCCGACCCGGTCTGATCCTGACCTCTGCTGACTTCTCCTGTTTTGATCCCTGGCTTGTGACCCTGACCATTCTCTCCGCCTGCTCCTCCTGTACCTTCCTGCCCGATAGTTATCGACCCGGCCTGCCTGATTACGTTGTGCTCTATATGTGTATGTACATGTGTATCTGTATCAGTTTAGGTTTGGGTTTGTTTCACCTTGTTGTATGTATTTGTGTTAGCTTGGGGTTTGGTGCACTGCGTTTATGTTTGTATTGTTAGTCTTTAATAAATTGTCTTATTGTTTATAACATATCTGAAGCCTGCATTTCCCTGCGTCAGTTCACATACCTCTGGTCATACCTGGAGCCCTGACAGCGTGACTGCAAAGATGGGGCGGTCAAAACAGAAAAAGGAGGCAATGCTTGCTGAAGCAAGAGATAGAGCCCTGTGGCTAGACAGCTATATACCGCATGCCCCAGCCAAGCCGGGGAAATTTAAATGTGGGTGAATCTGCTGTGGACTGGTGCAAGCGGCACCTGGAAGCATTGAGCCAGCCTACAGAGGAAAGCAAGCTAACCTTCAGTGCAAGGAGAGAGAGCTGCAGGATGTCCATACCTGGGAGAGGGGTGTTGTCATCCCTGGCAATACTGTTGCAGTTAAACCAGTAGCTGTTGTGGAAAATGTGAATGTGCCACGGCTTGAGAGTTGGTCCAGCAGAGAAGCCCATGCTATGTGCAAGGAGAGGGGCTGACCAGAGGACAGGACCGAGAGTGATTGCCCATAGCAACACAGAGGAGGCCAGTCGGGCTGTCTGTGTATGGGGGGCTATGTCGTACAAGGATCATGGCAAGTGGCATCAAGAGGAGCCAATAGAGCTTGTTGGAAAAGAGCCAGCAAGGTTCTGCTTGGAGAGTGCAGTCTCCCATGGTGACTGGAAAAAAGTATTGCCTGGAAGGAGGAGCTGCATTAGAGATGTGGCTCAGTGTCCCAAGAAAGAGAAGTGTGGATATGTAACCTGCCTGGAATGTGGTCAGTGGAAGCATGGTATCTTTACCTGTCCCTTACTCTGGAATACCGCTGCTGCTGGGCAAATGTCTTCAACTGCAAGCCCAGATTCTTGTTTTAAAATGTAGGCATCCACCTTTGGCAACAGGGAGGAAGTACCTGTTGGGCCTGCAGGGGGTGCTAGAGAGTCCATGGAGGCTATGGGGGTGTCTGTCACTTCACCTTGGGGTCACAAGGGAAACGTTGCCAAGAAAAGTGCAGTTGAGGACGGATTCATGAGACGACGCACTCAAATGAAGATGGTGACACCTACTACTGTGGTGGGTAAGACTGTGTGTGATAAAACCATGGCTGGGACTGCTAAGGTCATGTTGAGAAGGACTGGTTATGAGACAGTCCATTCTGATGTAGGAGTTACCCCAGTTAGTTGGGCCACTGAATGTGCTCTTGAGAGTGACTTTTCCCTGTGCAGTGCCTTGTACAGTGGGGAGGTAGGAGTTAAAGTAAAACCTGTGCGTGGTTCTCAAAAAGAAAGTGATGTCACTAATATGTGCCAGTCACAGGTTGGTAGTGGGCTAGTACAGCCCACAAGGGCTAAAAATGCTGATAATGGTGGTGATGATAAGAAATGTACTGCTGTTGGGAAAACCCTCAGCTCTTGCAGGGCAAAAGCTGTAAATAAAGATGGGTAATTTCCCATAGCAACTGGTGGTAAGACAGCATAGGTGTCCTTAGAAATCTCCAGGGGTCTCCGTGTATTGGAGCAGGAGGTTGCCCTGGACAACTGTGATGTCACTCTGGTGGAGCAGAGTGGAACTGCACCTTGTAATAGGAGTGTGTTGGTGCAGTCTAATAATACTGAAAATGTTCAGGTAAACATCGGGTTAATAAAGCCTGGCAAAAATGCAAATGTGTGGGTAATTCAGGAAGCACCACCAGAGCAAAGTGGTGAATGTGAGGTATTGCAACCTGCTGTTGGAAAACAGGTGTTACCCAAGTCTGACATGATCCAGAGTGATTTGTGCAATGGATCTGCAACTAAGCCCATCTATTCTTATGTGTCTCCTTGGGCAGATGGATCGGTGCTGAGGAGCACTGGCGAATTGAGCACATATACAATAGATTGGGATAGTTGGGGGTAAAAAGGCTA